AAGACAATGGTTTTGTAAAAATATAATCCAATTGATCACCAGATTTGATATATGGAGTGATAATCTCATTTTTGCATCAAGAGATCCCGAATAAAATGACAATTCATTTCTATGTGTTTGGTGCACTCATGAAACACTAGATTACTAGCAATGAAAATAGCTTCCTAATTATCACAATACATCTGCATAGCAGAAGACACATTAATCCCCATATCACGAAGTAGAACAAGCACCCACAACATTTCACATGCCGTGTTAGCCATAGCCCAATATTCTACCTCTGCACTTGAACGTGCAACTACATTATGTTTCTTGTTATGTCAAGTAACAAGATTAGCACCAACAAATGTGCAATAACTAGAAGTAGATCATCTATCAGTATGACTACTTGCCTTGTCAGCATTAGATAAGCCAACAATAGTCATACATGGTGAAGATCGATATAATACTCCTTTAAAATATTGAAGGATATGAAAAGCAGCCTCCCATTGAGATTTACGAGAAGTATGCATAAATTGACTAATTACTCCAACTGCAAATGTAATATCGGGACATGTAACTGTGAGGTAGATCAGTTTACCAACCAATCTCCGATAGCGCCCCTATGTCATAAAAAACTTCTCCATTATCAACATCTAACTTGACTATAGAATCTATAGGACTATCAACAGGACGAGCACCAAGAGTACTAGTTTTAGATAATCAATCCAATATGTACTTTTGTTGGCATAGATTGATACCTTACTTTGATTGAGCAATCTCAATCCCAAGGAAGTACCGAAGAAGACCCATGTCTTTAGTGTGAAACTAATTCTCCAAATAAAGCTTAAAACTGACAATACCATCAAAATCATCACCACTAATGATAATTTGATCAATATATACGATGAGAATGATAACCCCTTGGATAAAATGATGAATAAACACTAAATGATCTAAAGTAAAATGCTGACCAATGTGCTGAACTTATCAAACCAAGCACATGGTAACTATTTTAGACCAATAGTGCTTTCTTCAAGCGACATACTAATTGTTACTTACCAGAAGTAACATAACCTGCGGGCTAAACCATGTATACCTCATCTTGTAAATCTCCATATAAAAAGGCATTCGTTATGTCTAGTTGATACAAGGGCCAATCATGACAAGTTGCAGTTGAAATAAGAACTATAACAGAGTTAAGTCAAGCATCAAGGGAAAATGTCTCACAATAATCAACACCATATGTTTAGGTATATCCTTTTGTCAACCAACCAAGCCTTTAAAAGCTCAACAGAACCATCAGGAAGATATTTCACAGTGTAGACCCAACAACAACTAATGGGTTGCTTCCAAGGAGGACGTGAAGTGAGATCACAAGTTTGATTCTCATGAAGAGCTTTCATTTCCTCATCCATAGCTAGTTTCCATCCATGAGATGTTAAAGGTTGTGTCAAGGAACTATGAACAACAACAGATGAAAAAGTAGATGCAAAACAACAGAATGAGAAGGAAAGTCAATACAAGGAAACAAAATTATAAATTGGATGCCTAGCACAGTTGCGAGTACCTTCCCTCAGAGCAATAGGCAAATAGAAAGAGAATGAACTAGTTGAAAGGTCAGAAGGCAAGACCTAAGTACAATTAAGTGATATCTATAGAGCTGGAGCATATGGAACAACCTGTATGTCCTTGAAACCATGATAAACCTGCAAAGGTGGTGTAGTAGTCGAGGAGGAAGAAGAAACATAGTCTGGCTCCCCCTAAGTGTGAAAGACTAAATCTAGTGAAAGTGTATATGTAAGTGCAAGAAATAAAGACGATAACTCAAAAAAGATAACATCGGCACTGACGTAGTATTGGCGAGAGACAGAGTCATAACATCGATAACCTTTTTAAGTACGAGAATATTCCAAAAAATACACTTAATTGAGTGAGGCAAAAATTTATCTCGACTCAGACCAAGAAGATGCACAAATGCAACGCAACCAAAGACACGAGGAGTGAGTCCAAATGGCGGTCTATCATGATAAAACAATAAGAAGGGAGATTTGTTATCCAAAATGGGGGAAGACATGCGATTAATAAGATAAACTGAAGTCAGAACAACATTCTCCCAATATGATTTCGACAAATGTATTTTAAACATCAAGGTACATGCAACATCCAATAAATGACGATGTTTATGTTCAGTAAAGTCATGTTGTTGGGAGGTATGAGGACATGTAGTTTGATGGATAAATCCATGGTCTACACAAAAATCTTTCATAAGTAATTGAATATACTCAAGGGGATTATCAGACCAAAGAATCTTAATACGGATATCGAACTGAGCCAGAATTTCATTATAAAATGTGGTAAAGACCTTAGGTGATTCAGATCGATTTTTATAAAAAATATCCAAGTCATACGAGAGAAATCATCAATAAAGATAACAAAATATTGAAAATCAGAAATACTTTTGACTCTTGTAAAACCCCATATGTCTGTATGAACAACTTGAAATGGACTGGGTCGACGATTGGAAGAAATAGGACGAAAAGAGCTATAGTGATTCTTACCTAATTGACAAATCTCATATTCTAACACAAAAGAAGAGCTTAAATCAGGGATAACTTGACGTAACTTTTAGAAGGAGGGATGATAAAGTCGAAAGTGCCACTAAAGAGGAGACACAATAACACAAGGCAAAAACAGAATCATCAGGATCTAAGTAGTAAAGGCCATTGCACTCATGCCCCACACCAATCACCTTTTTCGTTTTGAGGTCCTAAAAAACACAAAAATAAGAGAATGTCACGGAACACTATAAGCGCTTAGTTAACTGACTCACAGATAAAAAGTTAAAAGACAAATTAGGAACAAACAAATCGGAAGCTAAGGGCATGGACTGAGTAGGACGAAGATCATCAGTTCCATGTAGTAGTTGAAAGGAACTATTAGCCAATACAATAAGTGAGTTACACAAATGAAAATTAGAAAACAGAGAAGAAGTACCAAACATATGAGCATTAGTTCCTGAATCCATGATCCAAGATGATAAAGAAGGTTGAACAACCATACATGCAGAGTTACCTCCATTAGTAAGGCGTGTAGGAAGAACAGAGGAATGAGTAGAAAGTGAAGATATCTCTGTTGGATGATTTGGCAAAACTGAGATGAAAGATCATCATAAAAGTCAGTAGTAGGAGTGATTGGGCCATGGGTAGAAGTCTGATGTACTCGAGAAGTATTATTAGAAGCTCGATGGCTATATGTTGGTCTCTCATACTAATCCCAACAATAATTCTCAGTGTGTCCTGTACCACAAAAATAAGTACACTTCTACCCAGATCAATGACCACGACCACCATTCAAAGGTGCCATAAGAACTTTGAAAACAAACAAGGCAGATAGATAGCAGTGAAACAGTAGTAGGCTGCAAAATCAAGCAAAAAATACCGAAAACCTCATCACCTTTTCACAAAACAAGGTTGATCACTCACCAAAACCACCATAATTCATCATAGGTTAACCAACAAAATAACAACATGTAGAATAAGTTAGAAATGCATCACTAGTGGGCAGAAACTAGATTACCGACTCACCAAAACCTCCAAAACTTCTTCACAAATAAACCCAATTGCCATGAATTACCCAACTGAGTACACAGCCCCTTAGTCATACCCCATAATATTGGTTTGAAGCAACATAATTGAAGAAAAAAAAACCAAGAGAATATTAGATAAAAAAAATCACATCAAGCGAAAATGGCCCAAAAAAATTATCCATAACACAAACAGATTACCCACAATACGAGCTGACCAAAATAAACTCAAGAGTCAAAAAATCAAACCAATCTGAAGTCTGAATAACAACATAGGTGAATTTGGTTTCTGCCGACAACTTCTTAGCAAAAAAAAAATAGCAGAATATTCACCCAAAACTAATTGGACAGCTCACCAATAGCCTCTATTACTCTAATTGCACCTCTCTGGTAGGGATTAAAGAATAAAAAACACTTGCAAGAGCTGAAATCACTGTCCACTAAGTTACTGTTCACGTGACACTATTCACAGTGAGTAGTTGGAAAAAAAATTGAATTGCTACTTTGTTACCAAGTTAAAAAGTAAAAAGTATAATATTATGTTAGGAGAGAGAGAGAATGAGAGAATAATATGTGTGTAAGCAGTATTACCCTACACTTTCTTATTTATATTGAACCATAACTTGGGTAATTACAATATTACCCTATATAAAAATAAAACATAAAAAATAAGAACTCTAACAATGGAGAAGTCGCCTAATTTTATCTTCAAGGAACTTTTTCATGGAAGGAAGTGAGAAACAGACACCTATAATATGGAAACATCCTAAGATCACATGATCTATGTGGGGCATCACTAAACCTAATTCTCGTTATGTTGGGTCTCATAATGCCAAAATATCACAGTAACAAAAGTTGGTTAAATATGCTCTTAAACATCAAGGATGGTCCACAACCATGGAAAATGAAATTACAACAGTGAAAGGTAATCACACATGGGAGCATGTACCACGAACCTCCTCCATGAATGTGGTAGGATACGAATAGGTATTTAAGGCAAAATTACAACTTGATGGAAGTTTGGACCACCTTATGGCTTGTTTGATTGCAAAAGGATTTATTCATGTCTAGATTTTTTAGAAACATTTTTTTGCCTATGCTCAAGCATGGTAGTATCGCATTGTACCAATATTACAACAATTAAGGGATGAGATATGCAAAATTAGAAGTTAAAAAATTCTTTTCTTCATAGATTTTTGAATGAACCAATTTTTATGGATCAATCACCGAGGTTCAAAGACTCTGTGTATCTTACACATATTTGTCTTTTGAAAACGGCACTTTATGGACTCAAATAAGCTTCGAGAGCTTTCTTTGATCATTTGAGCACATTTTTGCCCAATAGAGGTTTCTTTTATAGCCTCGTTGATCATTTCTTTTATATTTTTGTCATTCTTCTTGTGATACATTTATTCTCTACATTTATGTGGATAACATGATTTTGATGAGAGATAATGAAGACCATTTAGATTGGCTTGTGGTACAACTTGGAACTCAATTTTCTATTAAAGATCTTGGTTATCACCGTCTTCCAAATGGCTTGTCTCTTAGCCAAGCTAAGTATGTAAAAATTGAAAACATTAATAAATTAATAAAGAGGTAATATAGTAATTAGGTCGTTCAAGCAAGGTTACAAAATTTAATTTTTATGTTACTCGGATGATGAAACGAACCTCATTATTGGATTCATCTCGCGAAATCGAGTGGAGCATTCAATTTTTGTTGAATTCCAAGATAGTCAGAATTTTCACACATTTCGAGACAAATCGGAGATACACAATTAAAATTTCAACAATTGAGATTTATTCATGGAACCCATAATATAATTAAAAGACCATCCAAAAAATCTTATTCACTATGACACATGACATATTTTGATTGGGCATGAGAGATTTCCAACTAATAGGAACGTGATATGTGGCACCTCCTATGAAATTGTTTGAGAGAGGAAGAGAGAAAAAGCCTCCAAGGCTTCATCTTCTTCTTCTTTTTTTCTCAAATCTTTCAAGATCCAACCATTAGATCATCAAACACCAAGAACAAGAGTTGTTCTACTTAGCAAGGGATACGTGCCAACGCCAACAACAACCATGTTTCCTAAATTTTGGGTCTAGGGCTTTTGGCTAAGCTTAGAGTAGGCTTGTAGAGACTTGTTTGGTGTATTCTTACGGATTTCTCTTGTTTACTCACGCTTTAAGAGGTGGGGGTTCTCTTCTATTTAGATTCCTTTTCAATCTAGGATTTGCATGTGAGATAGGGTTGAGTAAAAGTATATTAACCACATGATTAGCCTACAACTAGTGTAGCTAGTGAGTTAATTGCAACATGTGAGCATGTTGCCTAATTTCTACTTGAGATGGGTTGTTGAACATGTTTTATATGTAGGTTATGATGGGTATGCTAGGTATTTGTAATTATGCACCCTATGAGTTTGATAAATTGCCTAAATATATTCAAACATATTATTTGAGTTAATCAATGTATATAAGATGTGTTGGGTGATATGCTAGAATACTCTTATATGCTATAATTGACATTGTGTTTTCAATTGAAATGCAATTTTACATACATTGCACGTGTATGGGTTAAACATCACATCCACGAGACATGTGGATCTTGAAAAGGTGAGTGATGGGTGGGGCTTGAAAAGATTGGACCAAGGTCCAATCAAGTCTCATGAAAATTTGCATGGAAATATGTCGAGACGTAGCAAGAATGGCTAGATTCTCCCTCGAGTGCTAGACTTGATTTATTTAGTCACACATTTTTTGGTGTTGTAATAAGTCCATAAAAGTGTGATGGTGAAATTGGAGCCGGAGGTGAGATGTCCTCGAGATCCGTTAACAGTTTGGTAGGCCGTTGGTGAAAGGCCATAAATTACCCGCCCCTAAAGACAAGATAATAATTGAAATGATCATTGGGTGTGTATAGCTCAATGGTGGGGGCTTGGAATTGCCCGGTTCATGATATAACATTACATCATGGGAGTTGCATGGGAGTCTGAGAGTGGGTTCAGAGTCGAACATGCTTTCGTGAAACATCACTCGTAGCTCTGTAGGTTTAGTAACTTTCTTTTATGTTACTTGTTGCATATATGTGATTGTTGAGTTGTAGGTACATCATATCATATGTATTTGGATTGAGAGATATTCTCTATAGAAAATACTCTATTGGCTGAGGCTCACTTCGTTGTGGGAATATTTTTTTGGATACTACGCACGCTTCAGCAGATGGCCTTCCTGTGGGTCTACTTTGATGATGGAGCCAGAGCTCGGGCTCTTATCTTGGATGTATAGATACTTGGTTCCAACTGTAAAATTGATAGCATTGTAGTATTTTGGGTTATACAATATTGTATAGTCTTTTGTAACAGCTTGTATATGAGGACTTAATGTAAACTCTTTTTTTGTTTAAATGAATGGTTTACATTTGAACTTGTTATTATTATCTAATGCACGTATTGGATTAGATGTGTATGTTAGACTTTAGAAGGTCAATAGGAATTGTTATTGACTTAGATTGTGTTTTGGGTGGAGCTACACGTGCAAAGGAGAGTCCGTTGAAATTTCGTTAAAATTGATCCACCAAGACCATGACCTTAGGATAATTAATGAGGCTTAACGGGTAAAGAGGACCTCCAAAAATTTGGGGTCTCATAAAGTATGCATGTGACACGCTCACTTGTTCCCAGATGCATAACTGTAAGCCTATTTCTACTCATATGGTTGTCAAGGATCGAAAAGTTGCGTATGATGAAAATTATTTTCCAAACCGAACACAACATAGGAGTATTGTTAGATCTCTTCAATATTTGACATTTATTAGACCACACATGTCGTATAATGTCAATTGTATGTGCCAATTTATACATGCACCAACAATGGATCACTATTGGATTGTAAAGCGAAAACTTCTTATATCAGTGGTAAGGTGGATCTCGACATGACAATCTCTTGCTAGAGTTTGCTAATGAAGATTGAGGTGGTTGTCCAACAGCACACTGCTCAACAATTGATTTTTGTACTTTTCTTGGATGCAATTGCATTTCATGGCGTTCAAAGAAGCAAAATTTCATCGCTTTTTTTAACGCAAAGGCTAAATACCAAGCTTCTTCTTCAACCATAACTGAGTTAACAAGGCTTTCATTTGTACTACACGACATAGGAGTTTCGTTGTGCAGCCTTCTGTTATTTTTTATGACAATTTAAGCATAATCTACATGAATCACAACTTAGTCTTTCATGGTTGTAATAAACATATGGAGCTACATTTCCATCATGTCAGTGAGAAGGTTATGTCAACATCCTTAGTCGTTTAGTTTGTCCCTTTGGTTCATCAGCTAGCTACGATCTTGCTAAGGCATACCTTCCATGGGATGCCAATTTGGGATGAATGAGATCATATCCCCCCCCCCCCCTTTTTTTTTCTCATTCACAAATTTTCTATATAAAATAAGTATATTTCAATGTATAGTCAACAAAAATAGAATATTAAAATATTCAATATCTAGGACAATAAAATTGAAACAATATTTTCACCAACTTCACTTAATTGGATATTTCACTGTTCAATTTGGTATTTTTTTTTGTTCATTCTATCATTTGACATTAAAATTCGATATTTCATTATCAATTTGGAAAGTGAGTCGATATTCCATTGTTCAAATTTATATTTCTTCTCTCTCTCTCTCTCTCATTAATACGACATGTTTAGTTTATGTATTAAGAGATTGAATTAGATTAATTTAATTTGGTGATGCTGTAATACTAAATTTATATTGAATTATAGAAAACCCAATATTAATTTATCATTAATCCCGACCCGATTTACTATTTTCATTTAACACATAAATATTATATAATGATGAATACCATGTGGTATTATTTTTAACAAGTTAAGTATTAAAACACACAATGACTTTATTATCCTTGCAAACCTAGACGCACATATTCATATAAAAGTTATATATTATGCAAATTCTTGTCCTGGATATTTGTTTTATCATTTTCAGTTTAATACCTTACACTATTACTTAATCTAAACATAAATTGGGTATTATAATTATAGATTTATATCTTACCCCAATCTTAATCTAAACTTGTTGCACAATGATATGATCAAATAATACTCTTACCATTTGTATGGATTGAATGAGAAATAGTTACCCAATTTTATCATTTATTTATACCCGAACCAAACATGCCTAAAATATTATGTATTTAGTTAGGAGGGCTGCTTGGATCTCGGAGTATTCTTGTCCAAAACATGAATAATCATACACTTCTCTTGTCCACAGCCTCTTTGAAAAACCCTAATCCAACCCATTTCAAGCTTTCAAATTTCTCCCCAAAGAATGAGCAAACACAGGCTACAATCCGCTCTCTCCCGATCAGTACTGCACTCTTTCAGGCCCAATACTTACTTCCCTCAAACCCCACCTCCAGATTCTCTCTCATCCTCATTTTCCCGCCAATAAATCTCTCTCTTTTCTAGACTCAACAGCACCTCATCGCCGAACAATCTTGACGGATTGGTCAACCCGGAGCTCGATTTTCTGGGAAATGAGTCGGATATACTGGACAATTCGCGGGTCAAGTACTTTTCAGCCGAAGAATTTGCCATTTTGAGAGACTCATTGTCGAACTCTGGTGCTGATTGTGGCTCTTCTGAGAGAAGTTTTGAATTGGGTAACATCTCAAATGATGCATTTTTGATATTGAATATCATAAGGAGCAACCGTGATGGTTTTGGGACAAAACCAATAAAATTCTTAGGTAATTTAGAGACAAATTGAATGAAAATTTGGTGATTGACGTGTTAAAACTCGTACAGAACGCTGAACTAGGTGTAAAATTTTTCATATGGGTAGGTCGGTAAATTGGGTACAGTCACACTGTACCGGTTTATAATGCTTTGTTAGATTTATTGGGTTGTGATGAAAATGAGAAAATTTTGGAATATATTTTGAGAGAAATTAAGGATGACGATAAAGTGGTACTTGGGAAATTGCTTAATCTGTTGATTAGGAAGTATTGCCATAGTGGGTTGTGGAATGTTGCATTGGAGGAGCTGGGTAGGCTCAAAGATTTTGGATATAAACCCTCGAAAGCAACTTATAATGCTCTGGTTCAGGTTTTTTTAGAGGCAGACAAGTTAGATACAGCGTACTTGGTTCATAAGGAGATGTCAGATTTGGGTTTTAAAATGGATGGGTATACTCTAGGTTGTTTTACACATTGTCTCTGCAAAGTGGGGCGGTGGAGGGAAGCTCTTGATTTGATTGAGATGGAAGAGTTTGTGCCCAATACGGTAATTTACACGAAAATGATATCCGGATTATGTGAAGCTTCGCTTTTTGAAGAAGCTATGGATTTCTTGAACAGAATGCATTCTGTTTCTTGCATTCCTAATGTTGTAACATATAGGATTTTGCTTTGTGGTTGTTTGAATAAAAGAAAGCTGGGTAGGTGTAAACGAATTCTTAGTATGATGATCACAAAAGGTTGTTATCCTAGTCCAAATATATTTAATTCTCTTGTTCATGCTTATTGCAGATCAGGAGACTACACTTACGCTTATAAGTTGTTTAAGAAAATGGAAGAGTGTGGATGTCAGCCTGGATATGTGGTTTATAACATATTAATTGGTGGTATTTGTGGAAATGAGGAGTTACCGAGTCTGGATGTGTTGGAATTGGCTGAAAAGGCTTACAGTGAAATGCTTGAAGCTGGGGTTGTATTGAACAAAATCAATGTCAGCAATTTTGCACGATGCCTTTGCGGGGCTGGAAGATTTGAGAAAGCCTATAATGTTATTCGTGAGATGATGAGCAAGGGATTTTTACTTGATATTAGTACATACACCAAAGTAATTGGTTTTTTGTGTAATGCCTCCAAAGTAGACAAAGCTTTCTTATTGTTTCAAGAAATGAAAAGGAATGGTATTATTCCAGATGTTTATACATACACAATTCTAATTGATACATTTTGTAAAGCTGGCCTTATTCAACAAGCTCGCAGCTGGTTTGATGAAATGGCAAGGGATGGTTGTGCCCCTAATGTAGTGACTTATACCTGTCTCATTCACACTTACCTTAAAGCTAGGAAGGTCTCCAATGCAAATGAACTCTTTGAGAGCATGCTATCGGAAGGTTGCATTCCAAATGTCGTCACATTTACTGCTTTGATTGATGGTCACTGTAAAGTAGGAGAGCTTGAAAAAGCTTGCCAAATTTATGCCAGAATGAGGGGCAATGAGAAAGTCCCTGATGTAGATTTGTACTTTAGGGTTAGTAGCAGCTATATCATAGAGCCAAATGTTGTTACATATGGGGCTCTGGTGGATGGTTTCTGCAAAGCGCATAAGGTGGAAAAGGCCCGCAACCTATTGGATGCAATGTCGACCGAAGGTTGTGAGTCAAATCATATTGTATATGACGCTCTCATTGATGGATTTTGCAAGGTTGGGAAGCTTGATGAAGCACAAGAGGTATATGCTAAGATGTCTGAATGTGGACACAGTCCAAATATATACACTTATGGCTCTTTGATTGACAAGTTGTTAAAGGATAAACGGCTGGATCTTGCTCTGAAGGTCTTGTCTAAAATGCTAGAAAATTCTTGCCCTCCTAATGTTATAATCTACACAGAGATGATTGATGGCCTTTGTAAAGTTGGGAAGACTGATGAAGCCTTCAAGCTTATGCTAATGATGGAAGAGAAGGGTTGTCATCCAAATGTTGTGACTTACACTGCCATGATAGATGGCTTTGGGAAAGCGGGCAAATTGGACAAATGCCTTGAACTCTTGAGACAGATGGGTGCCAAGGGTTGTGCTCCAAATTATGTGACCTATAGGGTTGTAATAAATCATTGTTGTGCTGCTGGCCTATTGGATGAGGCTCAACAACTCCTGGAGGAGATGAAACAAACATATTGGCCAAAACATATGGCAAGCTATCGTAAGGTTCTTGAAAGCTTCAACTGAGAGTTCCTTATCAATCTTGGCCTGTTAGATGCAATAGCTGAGAACGACTCTGTGCCAATTGTTCTAGTTTACAAACTTCTAATTGATAGTTTTCGCAAGGATGGGAGACTGGAAGTAGCTCTGAAGCTGTATGAAGAGATTTCATCATACTTTCTGTTTTCATCTGTTGACAAGAATATGTACTCTTCGTTGATTGAGAGCCTCTCCATTTCATGTAAGATTGATAAGGCTTTTGAGTTATATGTGGACGTGATAAGGATGGGCGGTGTTCCTGACCTGAGTGTCTTTTTAAACCTCATTAAAGGGCTTATTAAGGTGGACAAGTGGGAGGAAGCACTTGAACTTACGTATAGCCTATGTGACTTTTAACTCTTGTTTTATTTCGCTTCAAACTAAAGGGCAACTAATCTGATGCATCTGTTTATATATCTATATTACTTATAAAAGTGGCTAACCATGAAAATTTTTTAATTTTCTCTTTTACCCTCAATTAATATGATAAAGTCCATTATATCTCTCATACCCTTTTAACTTCTTAAATTAAATACATAAACCTATCATATTCCATGATCTTCTAAAATTAATTGCTTTCACAAACTTATATGTCTATACTACTTGTAACCCTAATTAATTTTTTATTGCCAATCATGTCCAATTGCATCATTTAACCTCCCTTCAATATTATATTATCTATCTATCTATCTCTATACTTGTGCAAAATTTTTGATTCACAATAATATCCTTAAAACATGCTAATAATCTATATTTATATCTATATTACTTATAAAAGTGGCTAACAATGAAAAAAATTTGATTTTCTCTTTTATCCTCAATTAATATAATAAAGTCAATTATATTCCTCATACCGTTTTAACTTCTTAAATTAAATACATAAATCTATCATATTCTATGATCTTCTAAAATTAATTACATTCACTAACATATATATTTATACTACTTATAACCCTAATTAATTTTTTATTGCCAATCATGTCATATTGCATCATTTAACCTCCCTTCAATATTTTATTATCTATCTATCTATCTCAATACTTGTGCAAAATTTTTGATTGATAATAAAATCCTTAAAACATGTTAAGAATCAAATAATATCCTTTTGTTGTGATTTTTCACTAGGCCAGAAATCTCTCTTGCAAGTTATTGTCAATTAAAGAAACATAACTCTTATAGAACCCTTGGAGTTTCATAACTCCAAGACATGGAACAGTGAGAAGTTGATTGGCTTGCCAAACTTATAAACCAATTTTCATAAAACATACCTAGATATTATTTGTAGATTTCAATTAATGCATCACCATGTTGGAGCCCAAGCCAAAGGTTTTCCCTCTCCATTTGCAGCCACTAACCAAACCAAATATTTCTAATTCTTTTTGTTTTGTCATCTTTATCATTCTGTATTAATGCAATATGTATGTTATGACACGACCTTTATTCCAAATTATCACAAGCTTTCTCTCGGTGTCATATTAAATCTTTTAATAGGCTAACTACCATAGTTTATGTTATTCATGAGTATGAGCACTTTGTGTTTCTAGATTTCAGCTAAAAATTTGAAATCATCATTTGTATATTGTGGGTGATATTTAATTAATTGTATGTGTATGTTTGAAGGTTTTCCATGTGACATATCTCTAATCCTATCAGGTGACTAAATGAAAATACAAGTTTTACAAATCATTTGTTCTCTATGGTATTGCAAGGTAATTCTCAGATGTATTTAAATGCTTGAAATAGTTATGTTAAACAAAAAAAAAAGCAAAAGCAAAGAAGAAACTCCTAGCGATATATTTTCATGGACGGAACTAAAATACTGTTGACATGTTGTAAGTTGAGTAGTTCTCTTTATTTAATTTTGTACAATTGACCAAATTAGGATTGACATGTGAATTCAGAATTAAAAATTATTACTGTTCTTATGAAATTTTTCAACATATATCTTAGGAATCACTCAATTTGAAAGAGCAGCATGTTATCTTAAGCACCATTGAGTTTGACTTTGTGTATTTTTCCTTGTTTGGGCTTTGTGTATTTAGATCTATTTATTAGAAGATTGTTTTTTTGCAATTTATATAAGAAAAATCAGTGGACATAATTTTTGACAAATTTGCGATGAGCGGGGTAGGACTTTAATGACTGATTTCATTGGTGATCATATAGTTTGATTTGGAGAAAACTAAAAACTAAAATTATAACCTAAAATTATCAACGTATGCACACGTGCATCAACTAGTTATTAGAAAATTACTGCACATTTTCATTAAAGTTACACTTTCGTAAGTTGATCGTATCTTCTTTTCTGCCACAAGCCTGAGCTTTGACTCCGCTGTTTGTGCAGTCAGAGTGCAGTGAAATGCATTGGAATTTACCACGTCTGGTTACAGACTTTAGATGAAGGAATTGCATAAGTAAATTTCCATTGTTCTGTATAAAGAGGGGAGGAAGTAGGAGTTGCAAAGGAAGAGAGTTGTGCAATTTGCCTATGGAACCTTGAAATGCTATGATAACATTTACAATACAAAACTATCTTAAACAAAATCTAGGACACTTCTGTGCAGTACTCTAATTGAGTTTGATAATTCCACCAACTTTGAGGATTTCTACATGACTCTATGCTATGACAATAGACCAACCAATCCATTCCAAATGTAAATCGCATAAAATGATGTGTCAAACAATAATTGCATGCAGACTTAGAAACAACCATTTCTATGCGTGCTTTTTGCTCTTTTCATTGTAAAATCTGTAATTTTGGTAATGTATCAGAAGCAATCCTTTGATAGTTGATTGTACTGAAAAAATTGTGTTGCACAACATTCTTTGTTCTGCTTGATTTACCATCTAGTGCTAGTGGCAAATGGGTGAGTTGGGAATGGTGGGAAAGGGTTTTTGCAAAATTGATACAAAACCAAATCCATTCTGGGCAGGTCAACATGGGCTGGTTTACCTACTAACCCTCATGCCTATATGAGCTTCTGGGTAGTAAATGTGATAAACATTTGCATGAAAATAGATGTGGGTGGGGTCCTCTACTACAAACGTAGCATGTTACATAAATTTCCTTTCTTTTTCATTTTACTGGTTTTTATATTGTGAATTTTTCACTTGGCAGGATATCTACTGGCTATCCGATGGAAATATATCTGAAGGAAAATAGATTATCTATTTACAGTTACTGATATTACTCCAGGTGACATGCACCTTCCAACAAGGATGAGTATGTGAATGCTCTAGCATATGCATATACAAGCTACATTTGTAATGAATACCGCTTGCGTGGGGATTGATATTTAATTTCTGTTGGCTTTGTGCCTGCCAAACAATAATGAAGTAAGGAATAACGTCATTCTTGGCTTGAAGAATAGAAGTTATGGTCTTTCTTTGTCAAGATCAGTACAATTCGTATGTTCTCAACTTTCTTCTGATATTACTATTTCAATTGGCGGCATAGCATGTTTTTTATTAAGTGTGATGCAGGTTGGTTCATGATGCTAGGACCGGATCTACCGCTACAATTTCATAATTGATCATAATACGGTACGTAGCATTATTTATTTCACTCAACCGTTCTTTAGTTCCCTCAATCCTTCAGAAGCCTATCTTTAGTAATTCATCAGTCACTACACTTGCTGTAGAGATTTCTAAACATTTTGAATGCACTTCAAAAGTGGTTTTCTAGACATGATTGATAAATATGGCGTGTTCCTTTTTTTTTTTTTAACAGGGGTGGCTGGTGCTAATGATAGAATTCTTTGTATTTTCAGCCATTCGTATATGTTCTAGATGCCTTTGGAAAAACAAATGTTGTAAATATCTGATCTGTTTCTCCTGACATTTTCTTTTTTGCTTTTTTTTTTTTTTGGCTCATGCACCGCTCATAATTGGTGTTTGGATTCATTTCACTTACGGGAATTGATGATAGGTGTGGCTGATCTTAGTACCCCTGAGGCTGTTGTTGCTACTGAATCGGCAATTGCCATTAACCCATGATTCCTCTGGTTGCTTGCAAGCAGCTGTGGGACAGAACCAGATGATACTAGTGATGATGACGCTGATGGCGATGAAACAACAGTGACATATACTCATGTACGAAACATAAATGATCCAAGCTACTAATAAAGATTCTTCATGTGAAACATCGAGAGATTGGCAGCCAAAAAAGTGCCCTAAAATTTTTGAGCTCTCATAGAATCTTTCTTGCCCGGAGGAAACAAGATATAGAGATGAAATTTTCTGCAATGCATTTGGGAGATGCATATGCAGAAAGTTATATAGGGCTACCATGGTTGATTTGAAAAAGTTTTTCTCTGCAAGGAGATTGTCATGGTTCATGAGGAATTACTGTTTGTTCAGGTTATTCATGTCGCATTCTTGAGGCAAGTCGTAGTTTATAGGGTGGCCCAGAATCCAGTATCGGATCCTTCATGATCACAATTTTTCCAGCTCCAAACTTAGGGATGAAATCATAAGTCTATTTTCTGTTTTTATTTGTATTTTCTTGTATAGGTTTTGTTCATCGTCGCCTTTATTTTTATTTTTTTCATTCCAAAGAAGTAAAATTAGTGCAATTCTTTCATGCTCTCTCGTTAAAGTTTTTTTTTTTTTAAGGTGCATCTTTGTACACATGGTTATTACATGAATTCCATATATACATAGTAACCTGTCAAACTATATGAATCCGGGAAAAGAGAAGCAAGATTCAAACTTGGGACCTCAAAGATCATTGTTCCCAATCTTCTCATTGGAGTTACCGATGGGCCCCTCCAAATGTATGAAGAAGAAAGAAAAAACTTTTGAGTTTGACTTGTTTGTCCAAAGCCAATTGAAGGGAGTCTTTTATTACAATTCCTAAATTGGGAACTAACATTTTACATTTGATGTGAACATGAAAATTTGACTACAACAACACATTATTGTCTTCTTTCTCTATTTAGTAATCATAATAATCCACTCAAACCTGATGATTAAATTTTGATTGAAAATGATGTGTCGAATCGAAGATTGCATACTCAACACTACTATATTAATGTCAAATTATTCCATTCAATTATTTGGTCTATCTGGCAATGTTGGTAAAAAATAACGACCATAAGATGATTAATGTTACACCCCATCCCAAGAGACCTATTTGATATCTTAAAGATGAAAGTATAACTGACACGTAGTAATGCGTGCACCTATAATTTAGGAATGCATTTAAATTAATAATATCAACTAATGATCTTATGAAAGAAATAAACTATACAACTCCATGGCAGAGTGCATAATTGTGCAACTTAAATCAAAACAAAATATTAGATAATTCATCCCTTACATCAACAATGAAATGAATACTC